TTCTTTTTAACTGTATTACGTGGTGGGTTTCGATGTTTAATTTCCCTAATTCAAGGGAAATATCCTCTGTTTTGAAGTCAACTGGTAGTCCACGGATTAAAACTTTTGCAAACTTGATATGTAGAACTTTCACTGAAGTTGAGGGTGGATTTGGAGCTTTGTTGAAATCCTCTTTGGATTCTGATGTTGCTAAGATAGTGGCGGTCTCTAGCGGTAAAGAGGAGCAGCTATTTGTAGTCGTGGTTGTGTAATTATCAGGTTTTTTTGACATCCGCTGGCTTTTTCTTCTTTTTCCTTTTCTTTGTAGGAGGTTCTATGTTGTTTTTGTTAATACTTTCTGAATCAGAGGTCGAAACTTCTTTAGTCTGTTGCATATGCTGGTCGTCATCGTTGATTTCCATAGCTGGGGCGTCAGCTGATGTAGTCGGCATTTCAGGCGCAATTTGTTGAGTTACCGGAATTGAATTGGCCGAATAATATGGTCTTACAGCTCTTTCAGGCACTTTAAAATCGCTGAGCGTGCAGTAACTTCCTCTTTTGGACCAGCAATGGAAGTGTCCATATTCATCTTCAAAAATTTCACCGGGCTTAGCATCTGGCTTTATGTAGTTGGGATATATCACCGGTATTACAATTCTCTTGGTGGGTGGGTGAGTAATCTTGCCGCCACGTCCGCAGCGTCGAGAAAACATTTTTGCAGTAATTAAAATGAAATGGTCAAATCTAAACTTTACCTCCTTTGCCACATCCAAACATAATTGCAAGAGAATGAAATACGTATTACTCACTCGAAAAGGAAAATGGTCGATCAGTGGTCAGCATGAAATGGTCAGAAATCTTGAATGCAAAGTCCATGAACCCTGGTGACATTGATTCCTCTTCCAGTCCTTCAACATCAATGGTCCGACCAGATGACGCTATCGACGGACTCTCTCAATTCAATACCGGTTAAAAGAATAGCGGTTGCTAAACGTTTAAACGCAATTAGTTTTACATTTCTAGTGGTTTGTAGCATTTGATGAATTAGAGTTGCCAGACCGGCAACGCGGCCCAGAAAGGGTTAATGATGCTATCAAAATAGTTCGTTGCTATGTTTCTAGGATATTATGAACTGAAAATGAAGCGAGGAGTTATATGAATTAGATACTTGTAACTAATCATTTGGATAGTGTTTATGTTTTGACTTTAAAGCTTGGATTTATTATCACTCTAAATAAATTTGGATCAGATTTAATCGAATGTCTGCAAGCGACATCACGCGTGTTTGTCGAACCTGATTGGATGACCCACGCGTGACGTCGCTTGCAAGTATCCCATTATAAATAGAACTAGGAAGTGAAGTTGATGATAAAGGCATTTTCTTTTGTATTTTTTCGCATTTTCGTTTTTCTTCTTCTTTCGTTTAAAAGGTAGTTAAATTCATAGTTTTAAGCCATTTCTCACTTTCTAGATTTTTTTCTTCTATTTTTAATACATTTTTTAAAATTTTGAGAAAAACTTTCATTTTAAGAGCATTTTGCTTGCGTATTTAATTTTTTTAAATAAATATGAGTGAATTTTGTATTGAATCCCATTGATTTAGGTGTCGATGATGTAGTTTTTCCAGATATATAAGACTCAATTTTTCAAATTGAAGAACATAAAAAAGCATTTAATAATACAATGCAATTCTCATGTTCTTGAAGATATTTACTAAAAATTATTAAATACTTTTTAATCTTACTTAGGCATTTAAAATTTTTTTATTTTTTCATAAATTACACATTAATTTTAATTATTACTTTATTTTCTCTTAAATGCGTAATTTGAAATTTATAATTTCCTTTCTTATGAAAAAGTTATTATAAGATATGTTTTTCGAACATTTTTAATGACATTATTTTTGTTTTAAAGTATTTTTTAATGATTCTTAAATACTTTTTTTCTCATTTTTCTTAAAGATTTTTTTTTAAAGAATTTCAGTTTATCAATATCCTAGCCTCATTATAACATATAAAACAGTACTAGCAATTAGTGTTAGCTTAATGCTTTGTTTGTAAAACTATTATTTCTCAAGTTAAGAAAAAAAAATCAATTATTTCAAATCTTATTTTAAATTTTTTTCTCCCGTGTAATATTAAAAAGTTCCAAAATACCTCATCATATATTTTCTCAGGAAATAAAGAAATACCTTTTCAAATCTTAAGCTTGTTTTTTTTAAATTTTTTTTATAGGTTTTTAAAATTACTGAGAACTACGGCATTGAGGTAGATCTGAAAATTCAGATTTTCAGCTAGTAGCCAGTGGCCGGTTGACTTAGTAGCCACTTTTTCTTCAAGCCTAATGAGTCAATGACCGATACTGATTGGCCCTTTTCATTTGCTAGCCACTTTTTGCTAACTTTTTCTTTTTCACTTAGATAAATTACATTTAAAAAATCTACGGTTATAAAAAGTTAATGCACCAATAAAAAATATAAATATGTAATAAAATTAAGTTAAACACTCTGACTTCAAGAAACTTAATTTAAAAATGCTTGGGGAGATAAAATACATTAAATGTACATGTTATTGTGGAAGACCGAAATTGGTGGTTATTAACTTCCACCGGTGAATGTTGACAATCCCATAGTCGCTTTGGTAAATGTCAAAAATATATACTGGTCTAGTTAAGGACCACTGCCCGGTACGTCCTATATCAATGCTTTTCTAAGGTTCACTGCCAGGTATGCATTTAACCGATACTCCGAAGATGATGTTTCTCTTTTAATATAATTTTGAATTTTATTAGCAGTACTTTTTGCATTTTTAGTTGCCAGTGGCAACCCTGCTACCCCGACTTTGATTGGATCTTACCTGCTCACTATTTTAGAATATTATTCATATTTAAAACAAAAACTTTCATTGTCTTCACTTTCAATAATAAACTGAAAAAAAATGCTTAAATAGTTGTTAATTTTAATTTCTTTTAATATAATTTTGAATTTTATTAGCAGCAGTTTTTGCATTTTTAGTTGCCCGTGGCAACCCTGTTACCCAGAGTTTGATCGGTCTTATATGCTCGCAACACAGTATAGGATAAGACTCACTTTAACGTTCATTGCAGAAAAAAAGAATTGTTATACAGATATAACTCCTATTATAATATGTAGTGGTAGTCACAATTGTATTAAAATATTGACACTTGTTTCAATTTCGACAATATTATTTTTTAAATTTGTAAGTCACATGGAAACCGTGACCTTTATGAAATAATATTTCGGAAATTTGTAAAATAATATTTTAGCAGTTTTTCCCACACCCCATTCCACAAAATGCATGAAGTAAACAGAGACTCCAACTACTGCTCAGTTTCGAATTATTTTTTTCAGTAGTAGGGATTTATAGCAGAATATTTTGAAACAGACAAATATTTAAAACAAAAAAATTACATTAGACCTTCAAAACTTAAGTATTCGTCTATATTATTTTAAATGCATCTGTTTAAATTAGTTGTGTTTAGTGGACATAATTCTTTTAATTTTAATTTATTAAAGTATAAATACATTACACCTGATATTGCAAGGAAAAGTTTTTTTCCTTCTGAGACTACAGAGAATCCGTAGTAGTTGCAGTCTATGCATAAAGTTATTTGCAATTTTTTTCCTTCTTAAAATTTTAAATAATATCATATTCGTAATGAGAACAAATAAAGATAAATAGAGAAAAATGCATCTATTTGTTAGAAAATGGATACTTAATAGTATTCTTCCTCGAATAAAAAAAAAAAAAAAATTGAAATCGATTTGTTTTTTCCATTCCCTTTATACAATAGACGAAAATATTCTCTGGAAGCAATAAAATTTCAATTATCAAATATTCAATTATGTTTTTTTTAATAGTTTCCAGTTAATTGTATTTTTTTAATGATAAAAAAAACCATAAATTTCAAACAAAGTTCGACCTAGTACAAATAGAAAAATTTCAAATCTTTCAATATACAGTATCTTATTGGAAGATTTAAACAAATGTGATATTTCTGCCGTTTCACAAAAAATTAAATTAGCGTATTTAATTAAAAATACACTGGTAAAATTTTGAATTTTCAAAGGATAAACATTTTGACTCGGGCATACTGTCACCAATTAACTGCCAGAAAATCTTCTTCACTGTGCCATTAAGAAAAAAGTTTTTTTCCTTACATGATTAAAATATTTTCTGAAAACTATCTTTAAAATTTCAGTTATCTTGTATTCAATTATCGTTTTTTTTTTTTTTAATAATCATCAACAATTTTTATAATTTCAAAAGAAGTCCTATCTAGTATAAATAGGAAAATTTAAAATCTTTCAATACATAGTATTCTATAGGAAGATTTAACCAAATTTGATCGTAGTGCCTTTTCTCAAAAAATCAAATTAGTTCATCTAATTAAAAATACACAGGCAAAATTTCAAATTTCTGCAGGATAAACATTTCGACAAGAACGTACCGTTCCCAACAGATTACTTAATTGCTAGAAAATCCCTCTCTACGCTAATAATATTTAAAAAAAAAAAAAAAAAAATCGAGTTTTTTTTCCTTCACATTTAATGAAAATGTTTTTCAGGAAGTTTCTTTAAAAATTAAATTATCAAAATAGAAAGTCTATTTTTCGGTAATAATTGAAGAAATAAATAAATCTACACTTTCTTTTTTTTTTAATTAATTTCTATCAATTTTTAAAACTTTAAAAGAAGTTTGAAATTAAGAAAATTAAATTTGTGCCTTTTCGCAAAAAAACAAACAATATTATATTTAATTAAAATGATAAAGATACATCTTCAATTTTGCGCAGATGTTGTTTTGCAGGATAAGCATTTCGACTCGGACACACCGTCACCAGCTGAACTGTTAATTGCTAGAAAATCTTCTTCTCTCTGCTAATAGGTGTCGTAGAGTTTAATTATCCCTGCGCAATAATATAGTTCCACCGAGTCACCAAGACGGTTGCTACGCAAAGGCCTTCGTAATCCGCGGACTGACACAAACCGATACCGAAGCGGAAGGGGGGCAAAAACGAAACTGAGGGGGTTTTCGGAAGAAACAAGGCGGTCCTTGCAGAGGCCGCCATGACACTCTTCAAAGCGGACCAAGTCACCGGCGATAATTCTAAAACGGCTGTGTTTTCGTTATGTTTACCACCGTGTTTGAAGACAAAATTCTGAACAAAGATTCACCATGTTTAGTGGTATTTTTCTTTTGTTGATCCTGCTGTATTGGACGCCTGGTGAGTTGAAATTTTTTAATGTTTGTTGAAATGAATGGAACAGAATGTTTGAATCATCTGATTTTTAAAGGCAGAAAGGGGGAGGGGCTATTTTGGGTGAAAGATGAACAAATGTGTAATGTTGTTTTCTCTGTTATACACATACTATTTTAGATGAAATGTAGGAAACTTCCTTACAATGCATGAAATGAGATGAGGATTTATTATTCCATGAATGAAATCGTATAATATCGTTTGTGGATGATTATGACTTATTCGTTCATCATCTGATTATGATTATGTTATAGTTTTAAAATATATTTTATCCATATCCATTAAGGGAAAACATTAAATAAATCATTTATTAAATTACAAATATATATTAAAATAATTTTCAATAAAATATATATTTTAACGAAAATTTACAAAAAAGGAAAACAAAACATTTCAAAAACTATTATTAGTGATTTAAATTGTTTTAATTCATGATTGTTTAATTAAAAGCAAGTGTTTGTTTTTGTTATCATATCGATTGAATATAGCTTTATAAAAATTTACTTTTATAATTGTCGCTATTTGTTTATTAAATTAAAAATGGTAAGGTACATAATTTCTGCTAAAAATTGTTTTAAATAAAAATTTATGAAATAAAAAACATTTAAACATATAATACAAATTGTGATACAAAATAAGCAAATTATTATATTTTTGAACATTTAGAATAGTTTGTTTAAAATTTCTATAATTATATTTTTTCAATTTGTTTTTGATAGCGATATGATTATACAATTTGATTGATTATATATCTATATATAATATGATTTTACAATTTATTTTGTGAAAATAATTATATGAAATAATTAAAATTATCAACATAAATTATTAAAAATTGTTTCTTTGTTTATTTTTTATTGACATTCTTTTATTTTAAAAAATCTTCACAAATGGAAAAAAAAAAGAAAAAGATTTAACGGAGTAGTATAAATTATGATTTTTACTAAACAATTATTATCTTTCTTACTATGGAGAACAATTGGTTTATTAACAGCATGAGATTGAATAAACTAAATGTATTGTGAAAATAATTATATGCTAACCATACTCTTTGAAATACTTAAAAAGAAATTACTATAAATAGTTTCATTGTTTTCTTTTATTGACAATAAAATCTTATGAATAGATTTCATAAAGCTGCTTTAAAAATAGTTTTTATTTACTTTTTGCAATTATGATCTATTTTAAGTAAGGAATAAAAATATTACTTTTCTGAATGAATACTAATATTGAAAAAAATTAATTAATGTACTAATCATAAAAAATTAACTGTTTTTATACATTTTGATTCATTTCAGAAATTTGTGCTTCCATTGTAACTATTTATTAATTTTAAAATTATTAACTTTGTAAATCTTTTTGGCCACAAATAATTGAACAAAAATCTGTACAATAAAAATAAAATCTGAATAAAATGAGTTTGTAACTTAAAAAATTATTTTAATAAATTCAAGAACTTATCAAACAAATCTTTTCTACATCATGATTTACATGATTATTTCTTAGATAAATATTACAGGACTTCCTAAATTTTACATTTTTGTTTGATTATTACGTATAAAATTAGTTAAAAATTGTTTTAAAAAATAGTTGTGTGCGAATAATACTACAAAAACAACGTATGCGTTCATTTAATAATAATTGTTTCATTTAATTGTTTTTTTTCTGCCTGTATCAACAGTTTTTTTAAAGGATTAAAAAGGATTAATTTTTTTTGAAAAGGATTAAAATAACAGCTCATAAGATAATATCATATCATATTTTAAAATATACTATGATAATTTCGACGTATGTTTCCTCGTGCAATGAAAATATGTAATTAGTAAAATTATATACCTAGGACAAATTCGAATAAATGTATATTTAGCTACTATCAGACGATAGTAATTAAAAGAAATTTTTTTTTTCTCTATACATAATTGTTTCAAACTCCTTTATTTTTATTTACTTCGTTAAGTTTTTTCGAATTTTAAATATTTGTATATGTATAATTTTCATTATTTAAGCCCCTAATTTTTTGTTTTGGTAATTTTTCTAAACTGGTTCATTTTAACAAGTTAAAATGTTTTTCAACTAAAATTTTCATTTCCTAGGATTTTAAAAAAAATACACCAATTTCATATTGTGAATAATTTAGTAAAAGGTTTTCAAGCTCTTAACAAACCCCATTGGGGCCTCCCTGGCCGAGCGGTATCTGCTACCTCCACGCTGTGGGGTAACAGATACCGCACTCCGGCGGGATTCGAACCCGCTACCTACACGCTGTGCAAAGCATGGAGGTAGCGGGTTCGAATCCCGCCTTTACCCTGGATGTATCTTAGTGCTGTACTTCTCTGTATATTGAGCTTTTTGTCCTTCTATTTGGCAAAGGCTTATAAGCCTACCTAAATTGAGCACACAAGCCTGCAAATATATGTAAACCAATAAATCAAATCAAATCAACAAACCCCATTCTTGTTACTCTGAAGGCTTTATACTCTTTATTTTTCCTTCCAAATTATTAATTGAGTCTTTTAAGAATTAATAAAGTATTTTTAATACAATATTTTAGCTAGGTAAATGCCAATGAAGTCTTATCTTATAATCAATAAAATTATAGCAGTAGTTATAAATAGTTTATTAACCCATTCTCTGCTAATGACGACTGAAGTATTTTTTTGAGAAAAAGAAGGTGGTAGAGAATGGTTACATAAGCTAACTCGATCATTTAAAAAAAAATAATAATAACTACGTCATAAGTTTTTAAAAGATATTGCCATTGTATAATTTTAGATATAACAGCTGATATTACTCGAGGATTACAAATGTCTGCATCACAGTAATAAATTTAAAAAAATTAAATAATAAATTTACCAGTTTTTATCTTTTTCGGGAAAATGCACTATTAAGTTTAATTGTTGTAATATGAGTGTAAGTCTTTCTTTTTCTTTAATCAAGATGCAGCAAATAGTTATAAATAAGAATGGAAAAAGCCTATTTAACTCCTCACGAGAACCAGCAATAAATGAAATGAGTTTGCTACTAGTTTTTCTTCATATGCGTTTTACTTTCAAATCTTCCTGTCACTGCAGCGCTTGAAATGGAGAAACAACTACTTATAAAGAAATAAATTTTCTAAATAAAGGCTTAAGGTTTATTAAAACTTAAAAGAATATTGCATTGTTTGTTACCGTGGCTGCCTTTTATGTATTCGTCATAGATTTCATTTCTAACAATATGCTGTTCTCGGAGAAAATTCTTTTATTCTTTCTTTCTAACAGTATGCTATTCTTGGAATTATAGTCAGATTTAAATTGAATTAAAAGTAATTTTGACCGCCATTTCACTTATATAAACTAAACATATGCGCAATATCAATATGGTGGCCTCTTTAAGTTCTGACAAAATTAAAAAATAATAAAAATTTCAGCCATTAATTTTTAACTCAATTGTTATCTCGCTACCACTTGAGCGAATAATTTTCGTAAATGTTTATGGATTCAAAAACTAAAACTAAATGTAATAAATAAAAATGAGAGAGAAAGAAATTTTTCTTAATAGGATGTTTCATTAAAGATATCTTTCAAACATATTTGATTGTTTGATTACTATTTTGTGAAGTGTTTTAATTGTAAAAATAACAAAACAATTAAATTAACTAATAACGAAAAAAAAAATCACATATCCCCTAGCAGCAAAATAATTTGGGCCCTCATTGGATCAACATTCACGAATCGGGACTCAATAAGAGTTCAAAGGGCCGTTATTTTCCGATATTGGTCTTCTATAGAATTGCCCGATTCACACCCAATAGTTTACAACCAATTTACAACCAATTTTGGCCTTCTATAGAATTGTTCGATTCACACCCGATATCTTACAGCCAATTTACAACTAATAATGACCCTACATAGAGTTGTTAGATTCACCCGATATTTTATACTCACCCGATATTCAGCCAATATAGGCCCCATAATGGCTATATAGAGGCTATTGGCCCTATATAGGACCAAAAAAAAAAAAATTCTTGACATTCCAATATTGATCCATATGGAGCCAATTTTGAGCCCGATTGGTGCCCCGATTGGTGCCAAGGTAAAACTGTTGCTAGGGTCGAATAGCCGTGCCTCCTTTTTTTTTTTTTTTTTTTTTTTTTTTTAAAAAAAAAGGGTGGTAGTTAGTAAATAAAAAGCCCATTTGTTACTATAGAAATTTTCTGTGTTTTAAAAATAGTTTTAGAGGAATCTTTTTGTATTTTTAATTTACTTATGAACACCTGCTGATCAATTTGTTAAATCTAGTTTTTATCACTTATCAAATTAGAAATAATCTAACTTTTATAATTGTAAAGCGTTAACTGGAAATTAACACTTTATTTTTTTATATTTTTAACTAGGGAGATAGTAATTTGTTTTAATATTTAATTACCTCAGTTAGTTACTGTGACATACAATGAATAAAAAATAATGCATTTAGGTCATGTGTTTTATGTGATAGTGCCTAGTTTTCCCCCCTTCATTGCTCTGTAACATATTTTTTATTTTATCTACCCCTGAAAGCATTACACACGTTCCTAAAAAATACACTTTAAAAATAATAAATAACTCCTTCATCTGTTTGCTATCAGTAAATGAGTTACATCAATATATAGTGTTCGACTATTCGTTATTTTACATCTGATTAAATGATAATATCTGTCTGCGACTGGTAACTGAGACGATGAGTAAAAAAAATGACTTCTTTTTTTATCCTTAAATCCCTATATCGTATTCTTAGTCTGTTTTTTCTTCTTTTTTCTAATATTTATTTTGTTGTAGAGTAGAACAAATATCATTTTTCAGAAGAAACCTTGAATTCGTATCAAGGCGAAATCGCATTTGCCAATTTATTATAATTTTAATTTTACCAAATATTTCCAATCGGAGAAAATTAAAAAAAATGACTACTGATCAAATTGTTTGAGATTAAAATTTAAACAAATATATAAC